TTATATATATATATATATATATATATATATAACAAAACTTTTAGAATGAATGATGAGGAAAAAACCCATTAAATTCGCAAAATGTATATATTTTTTAGCAAATAAATAAATGGCAAGGAAAGAAAAAAGAAAAAAATCACAAAAAGGTTAAAATTGTTCTTTTTATCCAATCAGTCAATCGATAATTTGTATCCTTCAATATACTACGAAAGGAAAAAAAAACTAGTCAATAAATTGAGCTAAAATAAGTTTGATAACTTACCGAAACGCCAACAGCTAAATTGAGTGAATGTTGGCGTCCAATTCGTGTTCTCGCTATTTTTTGTTGATTTTCAGTGGTTTTTACTTTGAAATCCGGTGAACGATTCATATTTGCAAAATCACCGATCATATTGATCAGTTCATCGTCAATTTTGAAAGCCATTTCTTTTCGCAAGTCCTCAATTTTTCATTGACCAAATTAACCTAAAATATGATAATGATAAGGATGAGTTATGATAATGAAGTGGAATAGTGATAATTTCGAATATTTTCAAAAGTTTCGGTCAAGTTTATTTCATCTCTTTTAATGTATAATGTGGTTAAAGTATTTTCTTTTAAGCGTAAGTATTTCATTATTATTCAATTCTTACCCGTAATAAAAAATTTAAAAAAGCAAAAGCAAAAGATTTAACTGAAGATAATTCAGAAATGTCTGCTTTATGGATCAAAATTCTCTTAATTACTAAAACTGAGGAAAATTAAAATATTTGAATCATTAAATCTCGAAAAGCTTAATTTAGCAAGTATTTCATTAATTTGAAAATTTAACCTCAAAGATATCTATTTTATTGATCAAAATTCTAACTTAATTACTAAATTTATGAAAAATTGCAGCACATACATCATGAAATTTCAAACCTCTAAATTTAATTGCTTGAAAGAGACTAAATTTAGCAAATATAAGATCGAAAAGAAAAGAAAAAGAAACTAATTGAAGCGAAAATTCTTTTGTCGATCAAAGAAATTTTTAATTTAATTGCTAAAATTGGACAAAATTAGGGAAAATCCTCATCCCATTACATCTTAAAAATCTAGCTTAAAATTACTCGAAGTTAAAACTTAAGCAATGAAAAGAAATCGTATCGATTTAATTATACAGTATTGAATTCAAATTTGGTAAATATTTGGAATTAATAAATCGAAAAAGCGGAAAACTTTTTGTTAATATATTTAATTGAAATATGCGAAGATAAAGGAACAAAAAGAAAAAAGGAATTTTTTTTTTGTTTTGGAAAAAGTGTTTTTCATTAATTAGAAGGGATGCGCAAAAATGACATAATAAAAAAAAGGAAAGGAAAAGAAGAATAAAAAAAAGAAAAAAAATTTAAAAACAAAACATACCTGTTTTCTGTATGATACGAACAAAAAAAAACGAAAATCAATAAATTAATAATTAACATTCAGTTTTCCTATGCTCCCGCTTCCTAATTCTTCATTCCGCGGTCTTTTCTACCCAATCCTCATTATAATCTCTGATGTCTTTATTATTACTATAATCATTGTTATACCATACACTTCTTATTTTACCTTCTACCCTTTATACTTCATCCTAACTTGATTTGATATTTCAAAAATAACGAAATTTTGGGCGATGAAAAAAGAATTCACGCACTTTTTTACCTTTTTTTTCTGGAAAATTGCATTAATTTTTTCCCAACCCTATTTAGTATTGTTTTTTTCTCGTAACACTTCTCTTTCTCCTCCTTCTCCCTCCTCTCTCTCTCTCTCTCTTTCTCTCTCTCATAACAAAATATAATGTAGATGATTTGTTAAATATAAGTTAACAATATTCTCATCATTTATTAATTAGTTATTTGGTTTTAAGTACACTTCTTACTTGAGATACCAAGTTTTGAAATGATTTATTAATTTGTTACTAATTAAGAGGAAAAGGGGCAAAGAGAGAGAGAAATAAGAGAGAAAGAAAGAGAGGAAGAGAGAGCAAAATATTAAAACCTATAAAAAAAAGAAACAAAAGATGAAGCAAAAAAGTAAGTAACGCATTTTTTTTGCGATCAAATATTTCAAATAATCAAAACTGAATAATAATTGATCGATTCATTTGATCGTTGCCAATTTTACAATTAGTATTGACAAATAAATCATCCATTCATTCCATTCTAATTAATTGCCGACAATATATTTGATTTGAAATAATTGGCAACCAATTCGTTAGTCTGAGGAAGCAAAATTTTAAAATTTATGAAAAAAAGAAATAAGAAAAAATATATATATATAAAAAACAGACGGAAATGATAAAATAAATCATTAAATTAGAAAAAAATTCATTTAAATGAAATAAAAATTTTATCGAAGTAAAGTAAATATCTGTACATTTTAAAGTAACTTAAAAGAATATATCTTTTGCAAAGAGTACAGATTTGTTCTACTGCATATTATCAATCGAATTCAATTATTCCGTTACTGAAGATTTTTTTCTTTGTACTTGACAGAAAAGTAATAATTCAGATTCAGGTTAAATTTCGGAGAATCTAATTATTGTTCCTGATGAAATATGAATGAATTAAAAGTTTCGGAATCGAATTTTCTTATTCACAATTAAAAAGTTCGTAAAAATTATAAATTTCAAGAAGATAATTTTCATCCATAAATGTCATTTGCATATGTTGGAACAATATATTCGAAACAAATAAATCCAAGATCGGAAATGGTGTAATTCCAATTCGAATCAAGAATCTGGAATGGTATAATTCCAATTTGAACGCAGAATCTGGAATGGTATAGCTCTAACTTGAATTAAGAATCTGAAATGATATATTTTTAACTTGAATCAAGAATATGAAAATAAAAGTACGAAGTAATCATTGAATATTTGAATATTTTTTTCTTATTTCTTCAATTATATTACGACTCAGTCAGTTTACGTGATCTGCCGGAAAAACATCACATCTCGAGGATTTGCAAAGCCTTATAGTTCAAAATTATGATAAGATATCGTCATCAACTGTGGCACGGTAAGCACAGCTATGACAAGATATCGTAATCAGTAGTAATAGGATATCGTAATCAACTGCGTTAAGACATCGTATGTGATATCCAGATAATGTATCGCAATTAACAGTGGCAAGGTTATCACAACTGTGATAAAATATCGTAATCAATTGTGACATAATGCCGTAATAATATCACAGCTGTAATAATAATTCAATCCTAGTTTATATTTATATTTTACATCCAGTTTTGTTGATTCCATTTTTAAAGCCCGTAAAACTTTATCCTCATATCAATTTGAGCCAAGCACCGTTAATGTGCCAAGCTTGGGACGATTATCTACAATAGCAAAGTGTTGCGGTATGAAACTCATTCGCTGAGACCTGTCACAAATTAACGGGCCATCAAGGTGTTCGTAGACATAAAAGGAGAAGTTTAAGCAATGTTAGATATTGTGTAAGCTTATTGGTGAGGGATGCGGTCGTTACCGGGACTTTCTAAGGTTGTGAAGCTTACGGGGGGGGGGGTAAGGATCTGAGAGCTATGGAAGGCGGGTTTAAGAGATGTTCAAAAAAGGAGAAGTTTATTGGAAGGTTTTAGGAATGTCGTAGAAAAAAGGAGGATTGCAGGAGAAAAGGGATGGGAAAATAAGATTTGATTAGATGTTGGTTGGTTACAGTGTGATATCTGAGACAGTTACATAACAGAAGTTGTTGCATGGTCCAAAGGTCGCGAAAAGGTGCATTAATTGTAGCATAATAGTGCGGTAGAAGTTATCGTTTAGTATGTAGGTTATGAGAGTTAACCAGGTTTATTCTTATTGGTTTTAAGAAATTAAATGATATAAATGGGTTGTTTCCCGGAAGACCTTATTTTGAGTGTATGCTTGGAGCTTAATTTAGCAGTTTTCCTTGTTTTTTGAAATATCACTTCCACTAGCAGAATTGCTGACTTTTCCCAGCTAATTAAAGTTGCGAGAGATTGTGATGGTAGAAGCCTTCAACAACTCAGATTTTGTTTTCATTTCTTACCCGGATTTAAACTTTTTGATTTCTTATTGTCAGGTTTTAAGCATAACAAGAGTCAGCAATTTGGTACAAGGCTGATAAGTTTCCTGTGTGAATTCTTTTCATTTCTTGGATTTTTTCTGGAAAATTGGAGAGGAACTTTTAATAATTTTTGGCAGAAATTTGTTTATCACCGCTGTGCAAATATGAGAGATAGTCACGCTGCTGCTGCCGCTGCTGCTGCTGGTGTTGGTGTTGGTGCTGCTGGTGGTGGTAATGGAAATGGTAATGAAGTCGAGATTGATGAAGATACTGTCGTTGTACAGGCTATTTTGAATACAGCACGAATTCAGAGTGATATTCTTCGTCGTTTAAATGCTGTTGAGGTGAAGTGGATTTTTTAAAACAAGATGTGGCAGATGGCAGCTGAATAGCAAAGCCTATAATATTTGTGTCTGGTTGATTTGGTTAATTTGATTAGTATTTTCTATTTCATTACTATTTCATTACTATTTCAATCATTTAATTGGTGTTACAGCGGTTTCGGGTTTTATTCCAAATATTATTCTAATTGATTTTTCGGGTAGTTGAGGGTGATTCCTGATGGGATCGTTTTTTTATATGCAACAACTTTGTAGACTTTGCGTTTAAATCATCACAAGTTTCAGCAACGAACGTGAACTTTGTACAGGTGCTCAAGTTTCGAAATCATTTTAGGGAGAGGTGATTATTGAGATCTAGATAGATAAAACTTCGACTAAATGAGTGAACTTTCTGAAGAGAATCACACCAGTGTTATTATAGGCTATACAAAAGATGATTCTGGAAGAATTACGACGCGGTCAAGCTCAGGCAAATGAACGTTTCATTGATATTTTGGATAAGGTATCAGGATATATCTTGTTACCAATTTTTCACTATCTTAATAACATATTGGTATTCCGTATATTTGAACACGGAACTTCTAGTTTTGTTGAGCTGGAGATAAATGTAGGATTTTTATGGACTCAAATTCAGAATTACAACAAAAATTTTCTTAGCGTCAAAGAGAAGAGATTGATCGTCTGATGAATATGGTTGCTATGCTGAGAGTATCAAGTACCGGAGATCCGCATGGGAACTCGCAACGCCCAGATCTTCGTCCAGGCAGTTTTTTCAATACATTAATTGCAACAGTCTTTGTGCTATTTCAGTTGGTATCAGGATGATAGTCAGCAGTGCAGTGATGCGCATTTTTCCTTTTCGTATCATAAAATACCATTGAGCCTTCGCAGGTTTAAAAAAAAAGTAGACTGTGAGTTGACCCCTTATAAGATTATGTATCTGATTGAAGTTTTGTGGAGATGGAGTAGAGAGTTTCCAGCGTCTATTTCACAGTGGTGTAATCATAGTGATGCTATGATATTGTGCCAAGCCGTTATACTTTGTCCCTCCTGACCTTAACAAAATCTTCTTCAGGGCTGTTGAACATCTTCGGTTTTGTGATGTTTTTATAGTTGTTGCTGGCTTTATATAAGGGAATTTTTAGACCTTTATGTGTTTCGTGTTAACTATTTTCGAAGTGTGCACACTCTCTTACAAATTTTTACATTTTTAGCTATGGCAACATCCGTATCGGCCCTTAATTATGCGTCACCCCAAGCAACATTTACACGAGCTGCTTCACCCCGCTCATTTTTTGGTGTAACTCCATCAGCGGATCCCACCCAACAACCAGTTATATCTCAGCAATTTGCTAATCATATTCTTGAACAACAACTGCAGTTTGCTGCACAGCAACAACGCACTATGGTATGAATCCTTCAATCCTTGATTTCGTTTTATTTGTTTTTTGTTTTTCCCTTTTTCTTTTTTTTAAATAATATGAATTAATTGCATAGCGACAGAGTCTTCTGATTCTGCCGTGCAGTTAATTTAAAAATTTCCGAAGTTGTTTCATTATATTCGTTTTCTAATAGACCTTTGACCATTCTGATTCAATTGCATACGGCTAATTTAGTTAGTCAAGGGAAGACAGCATTTCGATTTTCTCAGGTAGCTTAATTGCTGTCCATTTCGTCATTTCGACTCCTCCATATTAAAGATTTAAATTGATTTCTCCGTCTTTTTTTTCGTTTATTAGAAAATGCACAATGAATGTCGGAATATGTACAAGTTAGAAAATTTACAGGCTTCAATGTATGGATCACCACAGACAACAATAGTTCCTAATGCATTCAGTCATCCTCAAATACCTGTTGCTTCAGCTGGGTATGAGATTTTCTCTTTTTGATTAGAATGAAGAACGAAAGTGAAAGGCAGTGGAAATTCTTTAGGGGAAGGAAAAAGCTGTTTGTGTGTGTGCTTGTGTGTGTTTTTTGCAAAGGAAGAAGTGAATAATGGAAATTAAGTAGCTGGGCTTCACCTCTATCAGCAGTTATTTATAATTTAGCTGTTTCTTTTGGTTGAGATTAAAAGAAGTGTCGGATCTGTGAAAATGTAAATTTGCAATACATGCTGTTTGCACGAATATTATTGCAATGTCTCTCATGAAAGTATTAAAGGATATTATACAGAACGCACACACTTACAATATTTTAAAACCACTTTTTTCTCCAATATCCCTACGGAGTGCAACAATTGGAACTACCTATCTTGTAGAGAAAATACTTTAGCTTTGATCTTTATTTAGATTTTGTACCGGCGTACCTATTCCAATCCAGCAAACAACCCTGTTTCCAAATGCAGTGGCAGCTCATTTGCAACAACAGCCTATTTCGCAGACCTCAATTACTTCATCGACTGTAACAGGTGTTATCTTCCAAATATCTCTTCATTTTAAAACATATATACATACCATTTAATATCACTTTTTCTGTATGATTTGTCGACAAACTACCTTCATTTTTGCAAATTAGAACTCTATATTTTGTGATTTCTGGTCTCATTTGTTGTTATTTACCTGCTTGGCTATCAGATCACTCAGTTTTAAACTCACCTGATATAGTGGATGCTCGTGACCTTGAGAAATCAGTTATTTACCAGCTTTTCTGATTTTTGTTATCTCTCCATCCAGCCAATTTATTCCGCATAATTAGTAGTGACGATGCTTTTTCTAAAAGCGTATGTAAATTTGACTATCAGTTTGATGATTTAATAATATCACTCAACACTATAGTTTTCCTAGCATTTATACCGTATATGGAAAAATGCTTAGAGTATCATCTAGTGAGCTTTCCATTTTCATTTATACGTTGATTAGAATTTAAACGATCGAAATAACAATTTTTTTTGCTCGCAAAATATTTCGTGCACTTTCTTTTTATTCTATAACTAATATTATTGTTGTGTCAGACACGTCAACTAATATTGCTATGACAAAGCCACCTTCGGCTGCAACTCCGATAGTTGCGTCTAAAGCGATACCGTCGCAGCAGGTGCAATCACAAGCAATTTTTGGAAGTCAGGTGAAAGCAGACACGCCATTCACGTTTGGAGCTCCTGTGAAACGTAAATTTATGCATTTACTATTTATGTTATGTCCACATGTATATTGCTATTTCTTACCAAATAAGTTGTTTGTGTTATTCTTATGTATTTAATTCATTCATATTCCTAGAATTTCAGAAGAAGTTGTAACAACGGCAGCCGCTACGGTTACAGCCGCTTCGCTTTTGGCTAAACCATTTCCTACAGGAACGACGACTAACAGTACTCCTTCGAGCACATTTACAAATTTATTTTCTTCTACACCGAAAAGTACCCAGATGGGAGCAGGAAAAAAAGATGATTCTGGGAACAGCTTGGTAACACCGAAAAATATCGGTAGTGAAGCTTCAGGAAAGAATGAATTAACAGGTAAAATTAGTGATTTGAGGTCTTTGAAAACGTGTTTTCCGAGTCCGAACTTTTCTGATGTGGAATTTTTTCACAATTTTCGATATTTTAATGTTTTTTTTAACAACTGTTTCCTTGGAAGAAAGCGAAGAAAGATTCTAAAGTAGGAAAACTTCTTATAGGCGATGATGACGAAGCTCCAGAACATTTCGAGCCATCCGTTCATTTTGAACCTGTTGTTCCACTGCCGGAACTTGTTGAGCTATCAACGGGCGAGGAAAATGAAGTGGTAAGTTCTGTTTTTGGTAATTGTATCTTACAGAATAAGCATGAGCTTTCTCTATTCATATCGCTTATTCGGCATAAAAAAAAAAAAAAAACTAGAAAAGTAGAGTAGAATTCGATGGATAGCGAAGCGCTACTTCTGATGGGCTTAGACGAGACAGAATATTACGTTGTCATTCTTTGTAACAAGGCATTGAAGCCTTTGATGCAAATGTCACTGCGATTTTGGTGAAACCTTGTTTTGTAGGTTAAATTTGCCGAACGATGTCGATTATTCCGATTTGTTGACAATGAATACAAGGAACGAGGCATCGGAATGTTAAAGATTTTAGAAAATCCAAAGACAAAGATATGTCGTATAGTTATGCGCCGTGATCAAGTTCACAAGGTGACTTCCATTATCCATACCATTTTTATTCCTAGCTTTTCTCAATTCCACAGATGTCAATTTTATGGCATGCATCTCTTTGTTAACTTTGAACGAATTTGGCTTCAGTTGTATTATGTCTAGTGAGTTTTATTACCATTTGATCGCGTTATAATTCAGGTTTGTGCCAATCATACGATTCAATCGACGATGAATTTGACACCATTGCAAAAATCTGATCGAGCATTTGTTTGGCTTGCACAAGATTTCGCGGAAGAAGAGAAGATGGAAAAATTTGCTGCTCGTTTTAAAACGGCTGAAATTGCAAAAAATTTTGGAGCTGTATTCAATGCTGCTCGAGATGCAGCCTCTTCGGCAGACAATAGAGGTAATTTTATCATTTTAGTTGGTTTTTTCATATTTATGCGGAAATGTGCATCGGTATTTCAGGGAACATTTAAAAAAGAAAAAACTTTTGATGGATGCTTATTTTGAATCAAATTCGAATATCTTAGGAAAAACAGTTAATGCAGCATCAACTGACAAAGAAAAGGAAAAAGAGCTGGAAGGGGGAAAGAGTGATGGTATAAAAGGCTTTGGTGACGCGTTCAAACCGCCAGCAGGAAGGTAGTCTTACAGTTTTGCCTTGATTATCTTCTAATGTATAATTTAAAAAAATAAAAGTATTTGTGGGTTATATTTTTTCACGTTATAATCTTTAAGAAGTTACAATCTTATATTTTCTTGATTTTTAGTTGGTCATGCAGCGCTTGCTACATATCGAATTCAATAAATGCAACTGTCTGTATATGTTGTGGCACAGCTAAGGATGGTGGAAGTGATTCTGCAGCTCCAGCTTCTTCAATTTTCTCAAGGCATCTGGTTTTTGGATTGTATTCTCTATAGTTTCTTCCGAAAACAATTTATTCATTGGTTTATTGCTAGAAATCGCTCTTCCAATATAATATATTTCAGCAAGCCAACATCAACGGTTGCACCAATTAAGGGTAGCAGTGGAATTACATTTGGTTTTCGCAGTGATAGCTCTCCTGCAAACGTCACTACGACAACAACTGCGGTATTTAGCAGGTATTTGCTGATTGCTTATTTCCCTCCTTATTCAATAATCTGTTCCATGTCTTTTAAATTTCTGAATATTCATTTGATAATTGTTTTATAGCGCGCCGCTCCCAACGTTCAGTTTCAAGGCAGCGACAACTACGACTGCATCTGCAAATGTTACTACAACGGTTGCAAAACCGCTGTTTAATAGCTTTGTTTCTCGAGCTATGACAACAACCACAGCTACAACTCCAAGCTCGGTTTTCCAGTCGGTTACGACTGCGACTACTACAACGACAAATGCTTCAGTAACTCCAGCTGTGCCTAATTTCAGTTTTAAGTTTACTCCATCCAACTCTACCGCATTCGGTGGTCCGCCGTCTTTTGGGACGAAATTAACTTCTACTACCACGTCGACCTCGGCAGAAAGTTAGTAGGACTTTTTGAAATTCTTATTTGCATACTATTCATCTGCTGATTAAATCGTGAACTTATAAGCATTTTAAAGTTTTTGTTTGCTCTGGAAGCGGTTGTTGCATTCACATTAAGTTTTCATTTTTACTGATCAATGATGATATATTATAACATATGATATTTTAGCAACAGATAGTAGTGCTGTGAATACGAAATCATCATTGTTTGGAGGTTCTGCGTTTAGTAAGTATTTTTCAATCTACTTTCAGCAAATTTTGAAATTTCGAATATTTTAATTCGAGATGTTTCTAATTTTTTTTCTGCTGAAATGCAACTCTTTTTACTTTTCTCTTTCCTTATTTGGCACTGCTTCCCTCTCAGCGTTATTACTATAATCCAAACTTGATGTTAACATGAGCTGCAAAACATTAAATTGTTAGTCCCAAGGTTACTGGAACATAATGCTTGTTCGACTACTAATAGTTTACTGCTGGATGTCCATACAGTGCCATCCGAAGATAGTTTCAGCTGGTGGCTCTGTTTTTGGGAAGTCTTCTTCCAGTGGTGGATTCGCTGCGTTAGCAGCAAAAGCAAAATCTGAAACACCATCAAAGCCTGCTGAAGGAAATAAAGTCATCACACCATTTGGAGGTGGCAAATTTGATTCATCGATGAATTCCGTAAGTTTTCCTGAAAGTATACCACTTCTGAATATAATTTTAGCATCTTAAAAAATATCTTTACATTAAAAACTAGAAGAACGTAAAGGATAATAGCGACTTGCGCTAGTTGCATTTATCATTTTCACTCGCGAAGTAGAACAGCAAATAAGAAATGCTTTCAAATGCACTTATGTAGTATTCTGCACCGAATGGTATTTCAGATCTTTTCCTCAAACACTAAGCAGAAATCTGGACCCAAAGAGAAGAATGAAGAAGGAACAGAAGATAATTCAGATGATGCCGAAGAGTTTGAGCCGAATGCACATTACGAACCTGTGGTTCCTTTGCCGTCGCTTATAGAAGTGAAAACTGGTGAGGAAGGTGAACAGGTGAATTTTCTCTGTTTATTTGCTAAATTTTATTTTTATTCATTTACTTTTCAGCTTAATTCATTTATATCTTATTCGGCACAGTTGGATACCACAATCCACTTGATTCAAAATTTTTACAAATATGAATAGATTGTGTTTTCAGGTAATGTTCAAAGCTCGATCGAAACTGTATCGTTATGTAGCTGAGACGAAAGAATACAAAGAACGCGGTGTCGGTGATATCAAGGTTCATTCCGTTGTTAGATCATGATAAAATGAGTTTTTCAATTGTGTGGGTACTTACAAAAAAGAGTACAGGTTAGGGGAAGATTTTATTAGTAATATATAACTAGGAGTCCGGAAATTGCCCTTAATTTTTCTATATTGCATGATAGAATGCAATTGCTTGATGTGGATTCATGAAGTGGAAGGGAAAAACTAGTGATAATCGGAAATGATCCAACAATAGTAGTATAATGGGTACCTTAATCTATAGTAGATCACTCAAATATTACGAAAAAACCAACATCAATAATGCATGTGGTGAATGCACAGGACAATTATAATAGTATGAAAGTTTTTTTTTCTGAAATAGATTCTCTTCAATCCGGAAACAAAACGATGCCGCATTGTTATGCGGCGAGATCAAGTGTTCAAAGTTTGCGCCAATACACCTATAACGGATAATTCAAATATTAAGAAGAAGCCGAACACCGACAATGCATGTATGTGGATGTGTAGGGTAATTATAGTTTTATGATCTTTATCTTTATCAGTTGGTAATTAGCGCCATATTTGTTTCCTGTTCATCTGTTTGTTGATACGTGTCGATATACTGCTGTGCTTTAGCCTTTGTTAATGAATGTTTATAAAATACAATCGAAGCTTTTTAAATATCATATCCTTAAGGTAAGCTTATTTCAGGATTACTCGGAGGAGAAAGAAGGGGTAAATGAATGCTTTGTGGCCAAATTCAAGGACGTTAGCTTAGCGGATGAATTTATCCTTGCCTTTCAAAATGCTGTAGAACGTAAATTTCCTCTTCCGGAACAAAAAAACATAGCTACGACAGGTGAGCTCTTATCGGTTTTTGTTTAGACGTGGCATTATGTGAAATATCATTAATAACAATAGTAACAGTAACACAGTAACAGTAATAGTAATTAATAATTAATAATAATAATAATAATAATAATAATAATAATAATAATAATAATAATAATAATAATAATAATAATAATAATAATAATAATAATAATAATAATGAATAATAATAATAATAATAATAATAATAATAATGACAATAATAATAAAAACAATAATAGTGATAATAATGATAATAATGAAACATTATAACAGTCATCGACAATTAACAATAAGAAGTGATTGACATGAAATTCAAAGCTGATAATTGCGGAGGCGAAAGAGGAAGTGAGGCTATTTGCTGAGCGCAATAAGTATTCTGTGTAAGTTTATCTATGTAAGAATCCAGTCCCCACACTCACGTCAATTTGGCCATCACAAATTGGTGTGTCCATTGTGAATAACATTAATACTATTGCATTACTACTACTACTGCTTAGGAAAGTAAAGGCGCATTTAGCGGTTACTCATCGTAACAATTATAAAAATATATATGCTAATGCGGGCCTACCACCCTTGTCTATTTCCATGTCACAGTGTCTCTTTGATTTTTTCACTCTCACAAAATTCTATACCCTCAATAATTTTTTGAAATTTACGAAATAATTTTGCTGAAAAACTATCTTTTGCTATCTTTCTGCAATGTTACTGTGTCACAATGCACTGTGTCACAATTCTCAGCTTATAACACCATCAGATCTATGTGGGGACGATGATTAACTTGTAATTGGGACTAAAGACATTGGAAGCGGATATCTTTGCTCTACAAGTCTTAACGATTTTACGATTTAGGTGTCACAAGTTCTAATAGAGTTCAATGTAGTTTCTGTCATTTGAAAAGGAAGGCCTATATATGAGCTCGCAAATGATTAAAAGCTATTTTTCATTTCATCGAAAAATTAAGATCGTCCACCGAAACTTTCACGGAAAAATTGAAAGAGGAATGAACTATTTACTCATTTCATAATAAGCTTTCCAAATTAATGAGCAAAAGACAAATGACACTTCTGTCAGTGTAATCATATAGTCTTTTGTATTCGAGTAAGGAGAAATACATTATGCTATATATCATGGAAGTAGGCTGAACAGGAATTAATTGTTCAAAGTTCACCCTACTACCTATTGGTAACTATCCTAGGTATTCTAGGTGATCAGTTACACTCTTTCGTTACGATAGATAAACTCGAAAATCAAGTTTAAAAAAATATTGGCAAAAGTCAAAATATGATTTCAAAAGCTAATGTTTGAATGATTTGTAATCGAATTTCGATTAAATTTTTGGCTCGATTTTATGCTTTACAAACTTAATCATTTTTTTTTAACTTTTTAATGAATATTTATGAAAATACGAACCGTTTTTATCTGAGTTTCCACAATTTGAATAAAACATTTGCATAGGGTAATGCAAGAAGTGAGGCATGAGCAGCGTCAAATTTTGAAGTATTCATTCCAATTTCCCATCTAATGCAAGCTCGTTTAGATTGTAATGGAGGGAGAGACACCTTCAAGTCTATGGACACAATTTGTAGACAAGCAATCAAAACTAAGCCTGGGATTTGAGTCCAAAATTTGTCGATTACTCTCCAGAGACCGCTACCCTAACTCCTCCTACATTTGATAGAGCGTTCAGTGATTGATTGTAAGCTATCGATCTTTCTCTCTCATTCTGATGTTTAGGAGAAGTTAAATGATTCAACATTTTCATTCCTTCAAATTCTTGTTGCTAAAAAAAAGAAAAAAACACAAATTTTATTTTTTTGTTTTCGAGCCCAATTTCAGCTAATTTATGAAATGGAATCTTGAAGCTTCATTGTGCTAATTAAGAAATGGCTGAGTGCAAATGGAAATACATCCGGAAGGTTCACACAAGCGAGGAACCGCATTTTTGCTACTTGAGGTGGCGTAGTTCGAACTACTAATAGTTTATCCAACGTGAATCAGTGAAGTGATAGGTTAAGCCATCTGTTGGATCAACAATTATTATGAAGTCATTTTAGGATGTCTACTTATATTATAAATATATAAATTTAACATCCACCTCCAATCAGATTGAATATTAACTGCAAATTTAATTGAACGCTGGGAAGAGCATAGATTCGTGACGTGCTAGATAGTTGTGGAAATGCTTGAAAGAGACATTCCTTCATTAGTATTCAGAGTGGAAGATTTGAACAGCCTTCTGAGGCTGTTTGGAGAAGAGAGTATTTTCATGAAAAATGGTGCAATGATAATGAAAGAAACGGAAGCATTGCAGCATTGCTGATGCTATCTGTTCGGATACCGACTGTTGTCTCTTTAGTTATTTCTATTCCCTTGGGAAGTTCCTTTAATTCATCCGTTTCCAACTTCAAAATCAAGCTTTTTGATCAGTAGTCCCTAAAGTGTTAGAATTCATTGCAGTCCTTTTTTATAAAAAGAGGGGATTTCAATCATTTTGTGACAGTCGCAGGCCAAAAACATATCACTGGTTGCATTCTGCATGTTCCTATTGATTTGAAAACAATTCTCAACATGAACTATTTGAAAGGAAATTCAAACATTTCAATCGAATTGCTAATTATACCATGATCTTCTCATCATCCTCTTAGCTTCAGAGTGAATACTCAGAATACTATAAGTCTCTCAACTTCTTTTTCAACAACATTTATTTAGAAATTGAAAAAGTCAATATAATTTCTTATATCTAATATTCAAATCACTATCGCTCAGCAAATGGGCCACAGAATGTGGAAACTTCTGACAATCTTAGAAAGTTATTTGTGTGATTCCCTAAAGATTGCATCTGAATTTGCTTTTTTCAAATCATCAGAAGTGTTTAATCATTTAGGGATCTGTTGCTCAGTGACTAAATAATTCCCCCGTTATTTCTCTTTTCTAGAGATTTGTGTTTTATATGTGACTTCCCTATCCTTCTCTTTTTCCTCCTTTACCTCTCTCCCTCTTTCTCTCTCTCTACAATCTTAACTTTAATGTTGTTATTGTATCTAAAATTTCTTTGAAACATTGTCTTATCTTTTACCTTCTATTAAAAAACCGGCAGTTTTATTATTTTTCGTTTTTCAATAAAAATTTCCCCACAGCTAAATTTATATAAAACGTCCGGTTGATCGAATGTCTGCCTCTGCTCATTTAGGATTTAGGATTAAACTATGCTTTCACTATAAATCTTTCTAGACAAATTTCATTTATTTCTGCAACTTTTTTTTTTAAATTATTGGTTACTTCAAATATTATTGTACCTGGATTTTTGTTGCTACTGCTTCTGAAACAATTTCGTTTAACTAACATCTTAACTTAGGTAATGGATAATTCGAATTGTATTACCCAAGGCGATAGTTATTAGCTTGTTTGAAGTTTTCAGAAACATTTGCCATCTTAACCATTACTTATTTGAACTGAACCATATGAGATCAAATTTAAATTGTACGGGATTCCGAAGTAAGATTTACAAATTTTCGAAAAATTTCCCCATAAATTTTCAATAAATTTTTCACGGATTTTACTCGAACATTCAATAGAAGAACCCGCGAAGATTATACTAAATCCTGATCTATTGCTTCTTACAGGTAATTCTGTATCACATGTATCTTCTTCAGTATATTTATTATTTACTTCCATCCATTGCCATTTTGCCTTACAAATGAGTAACTCAATCAATGTTATTGATTGTTTGCATGTTTATGTTTACTTATTCACTTTCTTGGATGCTTATTTTGTGCATTTTTACGTTGAATACTTCATATTTTATTCAGATTTGTATAGAACATTACAAATTATTACAAAAATGATTCAGCTCTTTCAGTAATCAGTAGCTATAACGTTGTGTCATCGAATCATTTTTAGGATCATAATGGTACCATTTATATAAATTACTTACAACTTATGGAAATATTGGATTGGTGGAAAAATGTGACATTATAATTTTGCATGGATTCTAAAGTGACAAAATTTTAACAAAAAATGTGGGGAAAGTGGCAAAATTTGGGAAATTTCTCAAACTTTCCGCTAAAAAATTTGTCGAATATTACTCGAAAAAATCTTTTCCAGAGGCTTTTATTCATAATTACGTATTTATTTGGTACCAAAGCAACATCATATAACTAACTTATTTACAACACAAAATTAAAATTACTTTTGCATCTTTTTGCTCTTGAAAGAGAGAATTCCAAAACATTATTGGTATATAGAGTTTTTCACTATTTTTTTTTAGAAAATATTCTTAAAACGCAATTGTTACAAACATAATTTTTTTTTTTTTTTTGAAGCTGATCCAGCTGAACTATTTGTTGTCCTGATTGATACGTTAGAGAAAGCATAAGCAACTGGAAAAATAGCTTATATAATTGCACACATCGCTCCAGGAGGTATAACTATTACTAGTAAGTGGATAATGTACAAATTTTCTTTCTTCACTCCGATAGTTACAAGAAGTCTTTGAATCACTCACAAATTTCATCGATAACATACATTTTAGTCCTAAGACAGTCAGTAATACGAGCTGATACGAATTATAAATTTTATTGTTATGATTGATTTTAAATTTTTGTGCGTTTCAGTTTTCGAAAGAGCACTTTATTTGAATTCGGAGTGCAATCAATTTCTGTTCGATATTACAATGAAATTTGTTTATACAATAAATGATTTTTAAACATCATCATGCCTATACTTTGGCAAACTTCTAATTGCTTTGGTTAATTTAGGGACGGTAATAATCATTAATTACTTACTTAGCGGTTAAACCTTATAGAGTTCCTTACGATACGATATATATCTATACATATGATGTATTCAGAAATACACTTTGTTATCACTAAAACAACTACTGTTAAATAACATTTGTTGGACTTTTCTAGAAGTTTAAAAAACAGTGAAATTCCTTAGTTATTTGTGGAATAATAAATGGATCGTAGTAATTTTTGATATCTGTTCAAAGGTGATTTGAGAATTTTGTGATACAATCAGCTCAAGTATATCTAACTGCACCGTCTGCTCCACTTACCTGATGCGCGAAATTCTAAATTCATCATTTAATTTCTTTTAATACATTCAAAAGAAGAAGGAAGTCTAATAAACGGAGTAATTTTCTTGTAGAATCGTTTTCCACACACCTTCATAAATACCTGAACAACAAGAGGCAAGTGACTTGATCACCCTTTATAATTTACAAAAGTAAGTCTGTGATCATTGGTGGTCAGCGAAATTATACTAAAATTAATCGATGTTGAAGTTTAGTTGTTTTGGTGCAAAGATTGAAGTGATTTTTTTGCACTAATAATTTAAATTTCCTTTAAATGTCACAATCATGTCGCCATCATACTTGAATAAGAATGAGATCTCTCTGTATCTAACATTGCTAAGAAAAGTAAGCAAAAGAGGTAATAGTCAAAAACAATTCAATTAAAAAATGAAATTGGAATATAATTCTCATTCTCATTCATTCTGCTCCAAAAGACCGATGCAAAATTCTGCCGAAAATACAATGAGTACATTAGTTATTGTCATACTTGCCTTTAATATAATAATCATATTTTTAAGTAATGGAGAAATGGGTGCTATACACTGACACTTGATAATAGAAGGAGAAGTTTATTAGATCAGTATAGGATATTTCAAAATATTATGTTTTACACCGAAGACACATATTACTACTGCAAATATGAAAATAATCATGAATTTCAACATGGCCATTGTGATTAGTAGCGATGACGAAATGACTCACGAAGGCACTAAAAGTCGAACATTGAGTGCACCCCAGCCAATTAATATCGGATACTTGTGAGAATATATAAATCAGACTTGATAGTTATCTATCTGAAACGTAAGAGCGTCTTTGATTACGCTGATATTTATCAATGGAATGGTTGCCGGTATTAGATCTTTCTTGGTGACTTCCGAAATAGAACAAATGACATAACAGTTATGAATATACAGTAAGTAGTTTTATCATTGTTGCAACAAATATTTCAGTAGAGAAAATTTCAACGAATATCGGAAGAATTTGATATTAATATTTCATAATTCTCATATGTGTATATCAACCTTTCTCGCAGATACCATAAATAACGAAACGTTGTAAGTGTTAACTGAAAAAGACTGGAAGGATGATATGTATATAAGTGTCTATAAAGCCAAATAACTCGTTAAATTTTCAGGCTTCCCTTTCTAGAGAGTTTTACCGGGCTTTTTACGTGAATTCACGTGATGTCGATATTTATCGAAAATATGATCGTTATAATGTTTGCTTATTGTGTAAAATTATCCTTTTCCTGCAGAGGGAATTGCTCTACCTTAACAGTCATCAAGCAATAGCCCCCCATTTTAAGGTCGTCAATAGTATTATGCTGAAAAACAGGAAGAGATATTCAGGTAAGATGTTTAGAATATTCAGCGAGACATACACGATCAGTTTTGGGAAAGATATATGGTATATTGTGGAAATGTTACGACTAAATTGGACAAGGCAGACGATTCTGCTGGCATTGCATTCCTTTGTTTGATCTAATAAGGCTATGTGATTTGTCAGTACTATATGCTTCAATAATATAATAATCAGTGATTGTCAGATGAATTCAAATTTCTAAGCCATTTACGAATTCTAAGCAGTATAGTCATAGAGAAAAGAACTTGGGAGAGTAAATGTGAAGATTTGATGCATAGCAAAGAAAGGATTGCACTTTTTTTTTTAAATAAAATTTTGATGAAATTGTGAGAATCATTGATGTGAATGTAATAGACAAAGCGACAATTTTCAAATTCAAGTATTCTGCGTGTCTCTTTCAGGCAACGCTGTAAACTCACCAAATAATTTCGTTGCATCCTAACTGTTATTAATTTTTTGTATTTGAATACGTCTATTTAATTATTCACAGTTTTTCATTAATACCATTTTTCTTTTTGCAGTAAGACATTCTGAGATGTTTCGTTGCATACGTTACGTTTGCTTGGTAAATCACCGGTGACTGGAATAAACTATTAATTTGTCACAGAGTTCTGTTTTCATGACAGTCTCGTTTTTGCAATTGATAGGTTTTGGAAACTGAGTCATTGAGAGGAAAGTGTTTAATTTTGCTGTTAATTGAGCTTCATTAAATGATTATCACCTTATCAACTATTGTAATATATGATCGATAAATAATTGGTTTTGATGGATTTTCGAAAATATATAGTGTTGGACAGAATTCAACGACAGAAAAATATGCTCTATATATACGCAGCATAGGAATTAGTAAAAAAAGTTAAATATTTCAATTTACGAATTATTTTATTGAATTTAAAACTATCGAAAAATCACTAAGACTGTAATTGTATGCTTTCACAAAAGGGAAAAAAGCAAATGAAATGAATGATAAATCAAAACTAAAATTATTGGAAAAGTGATCGAAGAAAAAAATGAAATAAAAAATAGATGATAGCATGAATGTAACAGTGAGTTGCTCTGTTTCACGATTTTCTTAACATTTGGGATTTTCCGTTTTCCGATTTAATACTGCTGATATTACTGGTATTGGTTATTGCAACATCGATGACAACAGCTACTTGAACATCAAAATTTTTGATTTCCAATCCTGTGATTATAAGCACAAGAAATGTTCTTTTCTTCACAATTTTTAACAGTAAAAACTTATTGATTAGTAAAAAAAAACACATTTCCCGTTCAAATGAGGTAATTTACTAAGTCTTGCAACTTAGTCGTTCAAGCTTGTGACGGAGCAAATTTTGCAGGATCCAATCAATGTTGACCATCTAAATCTTTCTTGCACTTCTGGTGGATTAGTTTTTCACAAGTGATTTCTTATAACTGTCAGTATTTGGGAAATTATTGAATTGATCAATTTTTCAAATCAAAATAGATGAAAAAGAATCAGATTACAAGTCATTCTATGTCATTGCAAGCCAAAACATCCATAAGGGGAGATTTTATGATTGTCACCTCAGCATTATTCATTGGCAGAGAGATTATAAAATCATATGGAAATTCATATTTTATTTGCACAATTTTCCTTGAAATTCAAATTACAATGCATATAAGTACTTCATAAAATTTCGATAGACTTCGCCTGATCTTTCTGATCTGTATTACGTGTTTAATTAATGAAATGCTATTACGCTTTGGTCAAGTTTTCTAAGACAGAAAGATGAGCATTGAGCAAGAGATCAAGTTTGATAGAAACTTCGATTGTTTGGTTTTCTATATTTACTAATTGAAGACATAATTTCTGTTAACTTTTCAGCAAAGAGAGACAGAGTGGAAATTATGCAAATTACATCTCTCTTCGCTTTCCACCAGTGATGAATGGACATTAATTACATTAGTAGTTTACTTCGCCAAAAACTGCGCTGTTTGCTATATTTCACTTTCACTGTTTTGAAGGAAACATATTTTCGACGATTTATCCATGGTTCTCCTCCAGAAAATTCTTATACAACTTTACCACTTCGTCTGATCTCATAAGATTGATATTTCGTCCTTTTTTTTTTTTTTTTTTAGAGATAGCTCAGAAAACGAATTCAGAAATAATCAACCAGGGGTACCACAGTTCTAACTAACCTTCAAGTCGAAACTATTACACTTGAACAAATGCATAAATTAAAAATTAAATGCTGTATACAGTAGTCGATGTTTCTTTTTCTTTCCGCAAGATATGATAACAATTTTCATCACCTAATTAATTTTACAAAGTGTGCCACGAGGTAACGGTATCTTCCTCATTCTCTAAGCATAACTCATGAAATTTCAGAAAAAATAATACGTGAAAGGAAGATACGTAATACATGGAAGAAAGAGAGGTGGATTTCGTTTACGCATAATTATAAAAATTTAACGGTGGATTATTTTTGAAATTTTATTTTTTTAAAATGAGGAAATGGTAGTGGAGTAAAGACTTTGCTGAGAACAAAAATGATCAAATATTTTGCATTTTTTATCTTTTTTGGCCCACTTAGCTGGAACGCTTGTCCATCTGTTAGGATAGGTAAACAGCTATCATTTTAACTCATTCCTACTTATTTTTGCAAATACAGTAATGTCAAAATCGAACTAGGATTCTTGATTTCAAATCCTTTTCTCAGATATTTCTAAGGTAGTATTTTACGATAGCAGACACCTGATTTGATCTTACCATCCAAAACAAGCGCCAATGAGTAAATATGGGAATATCCGCAAAAATTGTTTAGTTTACTTTTCAAATTTACAACTTCTTTAAGCCTTAGTTTGGTAATTACAATTTTCGAGAAGTAACACTGACTGAATATCACAAGAAATGCGAAAAGTATTATATTTGAGCAGTTGCCAGTATTTTTCTTAGATTCTGATGAATAACAATTACCGTTTATATCAAAAGCCAATATATATGTACATGAGGTTTGACCGGTACAACTTGATACTAAAGCAATGGAGCCATCTGCCAGCTTATTTCTATGGCCTATCAATCTTTGGCATTTCACTTCTGACATACAACATCGCTAGCATCTGTTAGTCTAAGCGAAGCATTACTTCAGCATCGTCGCACTAACATAGTACATTATTCGCTTATAATTTAAAAATTAGTCGACTAGGCCGTCTTACGCTCGTCCGTAATAGGGCCAATAGGCATATGGATTATATGGAAGAGTTTGAAATTGCTGCTCTTTGTATGGCTGATTTTGAGCTTCAGTAAAAACTCGTTTCGCTGTCTTGTTGGCCTGAAAATATGCAAAATAATAAGGAAAGAATGAAGCATTAAAGGGTGATATTGCAAGTAATACAATAATTAGGGATAGCTGCCGAGTGCTGTGGAAATATTGTGTGGTAATTTCATGCTTATTGATGAAGTTCTAATGAGAGGTAAATTTACCAAAAAAATTAATCACAGAATCCCTTAAATTTAAATTAAGTTGAAAGAAGGTGAATAAACAGGACGATCCTTACGCATACTTCATCCATTTCTACTCTCTTTCCATTCCTCCTCATACCTTTTCTCTCTCGTCTTACTCTCCCCTCCTTCGCTTTACTCTCCTACCTCACCTACCTCAGAACATAAATTAAAAGGAAATAATTTTAAACATACACCAAAAAAAGAATAATTCCTATGCCTTCCTCATATTTATTACTACTTTTGCAATCATTATCACAACTGATAAGATGATAATGTTTCCTGAACTGTAAATAATGCAATGCCACAGCTATTGCAAATTCTTTCTCGTGTAAATTTCTCATTGATTAGTGATTTTCTTTAACTTTTAACTTTTTTTTAAAACAATATCAATGTGAAGAACAGCTGGTATCCACAATTTTTGAATTCTCGATATCAACCCTGACTTTTAGAGATAGTCATAATGTAATACCGAATTCTTTTTTCATTAGAATAAATGACATGAAATATCCAAACATGTTTTCGAACATGAAAAACGGTCCAGTGGGAGTTTCAAAAAAGTACAGAAAAATGTAATGCATAATCTACTTTATAATTTATGACAGTTTGAAAATCCTCAAAAATAATCAAATGGCATGTATGAAGAAGATATCGTAATGTCGTAATGTCAACATTTTTGGGTAAAATAAAATTCAAAAAAGAGAAGAAATATGTGAATAGCTGGGACAATTTCCGGTTTGCTAAGATGTTCCACGTTCATATTCACTTCTCTTGGAGAAAAGTAAATGGAAACAGGGATGGATAGATGAATTCGAACTTCTCAAGCAATGATGGTAAAATATTTCCGACGATTGATAAAAATAAAACTAAAGTATGAATAAAAAAACTGAAATTTTGAAAATTTCTACATAATGATGGCAAAACATTAAATATAATTTAGAGGTAACAGTGGTTGAAACTTGAAATTTTCTTTAAAATTTGGTAAACGTAAGCTATATGTGCAAAGGAATGTTTGCAAATGTTTCAAATCTTTACTGGATAAGGTTAGAAAGTAATGAGAAATTTAAATTTAACATTGATGAAAAAATTGTTTGTCTCTTCTTAGCAAAGAAATCGAAACTAATTCCTGCAAGTCGTATATTAAAGCAATTTTATATAAAATCAAAATCTAAAAAAAAATTAAGAGACACAAAAACAAACAAACCTTCCGTGCATTCAAGCATGATACGCATGTGGTAATACAAAGAGGTAAAGTGAAGATAACAGTTGCAAGTGCTGCAGCAAATGTTAAAAAAAATACCAATGGATGCCAGGGTACGAATCCTCACACCGCATCTGCAAAAATTCCACTTTGCACCGATTACTGAGAATAAAATTTACGTAAACAAAAGGAAGAATGGAATTTATCCATGCAGTCAGTTGTATGTTGATAAGTAAAGCCTTGAGATGTGACTTGGCTGGAAAAAGAATTAACAACATACTTAAAGAAAAGATAACTTATCGATCATGAAGGTATCTAGTAGTAAGGGATGACTTTTCAAATTATAAAACTTTTAAATCACTTTTCCAATTCTTCATAAAATTCCTCTTCCACAGCATTATATCATCCATACTGTATCTTAGCTGTCAAATTCATAGGGGCGAAAAATGGAATATATGAAATATACCCTGAGATTTTGTAACTGAGATCATTTTGCTGAGATCTGCATTTTTCTTTAGTTTTTTAGAAAATTTGGAATGAGTGAACAGCTTGTACTGCCAAATCACAGCAAAAATGTCAATCTTACAACTGAACGTAATACCAAACAAGCTAGATGATTTATCAATTTCAGTTTGCTGCTGTCCAGTTCAGATAATTTAGACTACCATCTCTCTTCAAATTCATAGCCTAATTCAGTATGATGGAAATAATTATCCAAATTCATAAACGGTTGTTTTAAAAAAATATTCATAGAGCAAAATTAATACTAGTGATTTCCTTCTTAGCATCAAATTATTTTTACAACTTAAACTGGAAGAGTGGATGATATCATTTGTTGCATATGTATTAGTAAATGTATTCGAATAAGATACACTCATTCAGTTTTATGTTGCGTCTTAAGCTCTTAAGCTATCACGTGGGCCAGTCGTGGATCTTCATAGTATATGCATAGAAAAGATAGATTTCATTTTGACAAATATCTATTAAACCCAATTTCATTATAATTGAGCTTTTGAACTCTGAACCTTTCTTTTTTCACTGATTCTTTTCTTGTCCATATCAGCTTATGGAACATAATTGTCAACTATAAGAAGGATTAATTTTACTCCAGATTCATATGAGGATAATATGCAAATTCTTGCGATGATAATTTAAACAGAAGAATTATCATTAAAGAATTAAAGGATGATGTTGTGAACAGACTGATTACGAGCCTAATGAGATGAAATGGTAAAAGCAATACCGCAGATTGCACTGAGACTGTGCATTCTTTGGTAATCGTCCGTAAATGTCACTGACGCATGCACCGTATGTAAAGAATGTAAAGTAAACTTCTTCACATTCGTCTTCGCATCGTAACTTTGATTCTTTATCCGACTGCATAAAGTATCTGCAAATATTCTTTCTTTTTTGTCGCTACCTTTGGATGATAAGTTTTTGACCGTATTTTTAAATTATAATTTCAGTCCAAGGAACTTGCTAATATATATATATATATATATATATATATA